CTCAGAACAGGCTAAACTAAATGAAGTATATCTTAACAAAGCTAAGGGAGCGTTTGTAAGATCAAGGAAAAGATGGATCGAGGGAGGCGAACAAAATTCATCGTATTTCTTTTAATCTAGAAAAACACCATCGAAAAATCAAGTTGATACAGCAACTTAATGTTAATGGCATCATAACTGACGACCCAAAAAACATCGCCAATTTCTGTTTTAAATTTTACAGTAACCTTTATCAGTCCAACTACTGTGAACACTCGGCAACCTCTTTTCTAAATTCTATTAACAATGTCACACAGATAACTCAAAGCGACAAAGACTTCTGTGATAGGAATATTAATTTAGAAGAAGTAGTTTTTGCTATTGAACACCTCAAAGCGAACAAATCACCCGGAGTTGATGGCCTCACAGCAGAGTTTTATAAAACCTTCGTAAAAGACTTAGCTCCATTTCTCCTTGAAGTTTTTTTAGAAAGCATCAAGAAAGGTTGTCTTCCCCCTTCTTTAACAAAGGGATTGATTACTTTAATACCAAAACCTAAACGAGATCATACCTTCATTGAAAACTGGAGACCTATTTCTCTATTAAATAACGACTATAAAGTGTTTGCTTCCATTATAGCTAGGAGAATCAAAGGTGTACTCGACCCAATTCTTGATGAGGTTCAATCCGGTTTTATGAGTAAAAGACACATTTCTAATAAAATCAGGCTCGTCTTAGATCTGATTGATTACTCATTCCTCTGCTCTGACAATAGTTACCTCCTATTTCTGGACTTCTATAAGGCATTTGACACGGTCGAACATGAGTTCATTTTTCGCTGTATGGAGCAATTCGGATTTGGTGATTTCTTTTGTAAAATTGTTAAGACTATGTATGCCAATAGCTCCATCAAACTGAGAAATGGCACCTCTCCAAGATTCTCCCTACATCGAGGAGTGCGCCAAGGCTGTCCGGCCTCTCCATTTCTGTTTCTATTGTGTACGCAACTCCTCACCTGTCATATCAGAAGAAGTGCCATCCAAGGGATATCTATAGCGGGCAGAGAAATCCTGATTAGTCAGCTTGCGGATGACACTACCTTATTCCTAAAGAACTCCAGCCAAGTCTCTGCTGCGATTAAAACGGTCGAACAGTTCTCAGCGGCCTCTGGT